GTGCGGGCGTGCGTGTGTGTGTGTGTGTGTGTGTGTGTGTGTGTGTGTGTGTGTGTGTGTGTGTGTGTGTGTGTGTGTGTGTGTCTATAATATTATTTTTGTTAAACACACCAATACACATTACTTAGTCAATAAATTTCAATGCTAACAGCAAACGAATTGAGAAAACCAGTATTTAAAAATATTTTACGAAATATAATACATGTAAAATATTCAATCTTCCTTTTTCTTTCTTTAGAATTCATACATGGAAAAAACTTGCAATAAAATCGTACTGCGACGATAGAAAGCATAAGTATCTTTTTCCTTATCGTCCTTCATCGTCAAATGACAGTGCATACACAGATTTTATAAGCATCTCTATCAGAATTGGAAGAAAGATAAGATTGGAGATAAAGCTACATTACATGCTACGCTATGAAGTTAAGATATTTACGCGAATCGCGCTCTATTACATTGCTTTCTGTAAATTACTAGTTTAATATTATCCCTTTTATCGGAGTTATTTATTCAATGACGAGAGATGCATTATCTTTTTCCTTTTCAATATCACAAAAATTGCAAAAACGCAATATTCTATGGGAAAACACTAATTATTATGTAAACTTTTATTCGTATAGACATGCATTACGAAATCAATAGAAGATAAACTAAGCAATCGCTAAGCAAATAAAATTCCCTCTAAATGCTCTTATAATCTAGAAGGAATTGGACAAAAACATGGAAATTTTCATCGAAACTTTGAGATTGCGGATGGGCGTGCACACATATACTTATATGATCAAGTACATGTTATTATGTATATGACAATTCAAACTCTACAGGATGTCTCAGACTTATCGCATCATCAGTGGCAAATTCTTCAAGTCATTTTGAAATAAAAATTCTAATTAAATAAAACCAAAATGGCAAGGATTTAATAGTTTTTAAATTATAAATATATATTTAAAGTTTATTAGCGAATCATATCGCCTAAAATTCCCGCGTTTAGAGAATTTAATTGACATTTTGCGTTGTATGTACTTATGTAGTTGGTCTAATCTAAACAACTACGCGCAAACTTTAGGTGATACGATTTGCTAGTTTTAATTTTTTTTTTTAATTTTAATTAAAAACCTATTATAACTTCGACATTTTGATATTAAAATTTTCATTTCAAAATGATTCACGTGATATCTAGGACACCCTGTATATATAAAAATAGACTATAGAATAAATTAAATAACCGCTGAGAGATATTTACTATTAGATAGATTGAGTATCTAGCAAAATAAAATATTTTAGACGACCATATGTACAGAATAATTTTTATGTTATCACACGCATTATCAAATTAGCTCAAGATAAGGGTAGAGCTAATACCGTTGTATAGAAACATGTGAACTCAAGATAAACTTACCGGGATTATACATGTATTGTGATCAGTTTCTGATATATGTAATATTTTGATATGAATTTGAAATAACTGGTTGAAGATTACTAAATAACTATTTGTACATTGCAACAAATAAAACAAATATATAAAAATAAGATATCAGGCACGAAATATTTCTTGGAATATTTATGATTGCGGATATCGCGTCAGAAATTACATGATAATATAACACATAAATATCAACGATTAG